ATAAGGATAGACATTCCATATTTGGAAAAACGAACGTTACGGGGCAGATATTCAAATTCATTAGCCATCGATGCAGGCTCTCAATTCAGCTTGAGAGCTTGTTCGCAGGCTATTATATATGTTGTACTGAAATAAGAAGCTGTTGAAGTAAAGGAAGGGGACATGATAAATGGAGACGCGCTTGTTTATCTGTTCAATAGAAAACAGTTAATAGATTTTTTAAATATAAATAAAGAATCGAAAAGTGTTGACCTATACACTTGCATTGGCACTTCAAGTTACTATTGAACATTTCGGAAAACAACAATCAATCCCTATAAAATGTAATCTAAAACAGTAGCTATGGTTGTATAATTTTATAATCTTAATAATTTTACTTTTCAGGTATTTATTTCCACATTTGTAGTGCCACAGGTGATCCCCATTACAAAACGTTTGATGCTATAAAATACGATTTTATGGGACTCTGTGAATATGTGCTGTCGAAAGACTTGGACAACAATTTCTTGGTGCTCACAAAGAACGAACGCTGCTACGGTCGTTATAGCTGCGTTTCCTCTGTAACTGTGTCGGTAAAGGGGCTAAAGATTGAAATATCCAGAGGTGGTCGGTTTACAGTGTTTGGAATCGCTAAGAACGCACCCTACACTAACCATGGTACGAAATTTTGTATATTTTCATGCAATTTAGTGATATTTAGAGAAATACGAACTAACACAATGGTCTCTATTTTATAGGTGTAACAGTGTCAAAGCGTGGTGCAAGAACAATCCGAATTGATACGGAAATTGGCGTAACGGTGGAATATGATGGAGTTTATAATGTGTTTGTCACGTTATCTGCGCGATATCAAGGAAAGACTGCGGGACTTTGTGGAAACTACAATGGCAATACCAATGATGAATTTTTGGATGTGAACTTCCAGCGTAGCCATACCATCTTACACTTTGCTGATTCCTGGAAAGTTGACCAAAGCTGTCCAAATTCGCCAAATCCTGGAAATCCATGTCTTACTGCAAGTAGCATTGCGCAAGAGGCGAAGAAGAAATGTCAGTTGCTTAAACAACAACCGTTTGCAAAATGTCATAATTCAGTGAATCAAGATTCTGGTTTCATTAAAGATTGTGAATATGATGTCTGTGTGTGCAATAATCATCCTTCATCATGTCTGTGTGAAGAATTTGCTGCTTACGCCACCTCGTGTTCACTAGTTGGAGTTCCCATTACGTGGAAAAATCTTCCTCAGTTTGCTGAGTGCAGTAAGTATAGTGTTTTTTCATTCAAAAATACCATATTATTACGAAAAGTACTGTAGCTATAACCTTTTCTACATTAGAGAATACCGGATGTACATGTCAGTTACGTCATAAACGTATTTTTAAGTGCTGTAAATACATTAGATAAACGACTATGAGAGAAACTAAGTCGATTGAAGCACTGATGGAATGTTTAGCCCTTTGCAGCAAAGTAAGGCATGGCGTTAGACTTGCTCCAAGTCTCTCTTTGATTGTCATATAGTATCGATCCACTATAGTGTACATTACATGACGTAGCACGGAGAGGTAGAGCGAGAAAGAGAGACTTGTCAACTTCGGAAAATCTCGGTTCAAAACCGAACCGAAAATGCAAGACTTGCTTCGATTGTTTTCCTTCAATTTCTTTCTGTATTATTTACTATAATGGAACACATGTTATTTACACTGTGTTAGATCAATACATATAACACTGACAGAAAACAATTAAAGCAAGTCTTGCATTTTCGGTTCAGTTTTGAACTGAGATTTTCCGAAGTTGAGAAGTCTTCTTTCTCGCTCCGCCACTCCGTGCTACGTCGTGTAATGTACGCTATAATGGATCGATACTATATGACAATGA